AAGACGTGTTAACTATTGTGGAAGACACAGTTGTCACAACGAATTTGCATTCGGAGTTAATTGCCAAATCCACTGAGTTGCACCAAAGTCATGACTTATTTAAGCGTGAACTTCTATTTCTGCATGACCCAATATTGTTCCACACACTTGCTTTTCTCGACGAAGTGCAAACTGGAATGATCGAATTGGCAGGGGGACGCATACCTCTGTATTTTGTATCCAAGGATATTGTTCATGCGATGCTTGCCAATGTGGATGGAGAGACAATTGAGCCTATGCAATTAAATCTGGCCTTTGAGATGGGGAGCGCTATACCTCTCTTAATTGATCCGGAACGTATGGAGATTTGCTTTTTATTGACCATACCATATGTAACTCCCAAAGACATTTTTCAAATGAAAACAATGTACTATGTAATAATGATATTATGGTTGATTGTACTAAGTGTAAAGTTCAAAACTTTTACAGGTACAAATATATACAAAAATGTTCATTCCACGCACGGGCCTATGTTAGAAATGATGTGATTGCACAATATGTCTGGTAACTTCTATAGTGCTTATTCATAAGCTAAATTAATTTTGGCTATGAAATGCACTAAAGGGGGGTTATGTCAGAGTATTTATATCGGCAGACATTTTGTGCTATGATAGAAACTAAAAGTGTATATTCTGAGTCACTCTGAACAGACCAGACTCCATTTTGTTATTCCAAATTAACAAAGAAGACACTAGATTTCTTTCTGTAAGACTGGCCTCTTTGCCAGAGCTAAGGAATGCATAGTATAAACAAGTGATAAGGAAGGGGGTTGGACAGACTGTCTAATGCTAAAAGAATATAATCAAATCTAAACCCAGACAATTGTGACAGAGAAGATTAAATAAATTTAATATTTAACTGTCTATATATATAAGGTACCATTGTATGGAAAAGGGTAAACTTAGTTCATGATCTGTCATATCAGAAATTATAGCAGATTTGCAGACACATAGTCTGGACAAAATTTAAGAACCCCTTTGATCTTTGAAGGATATGTAAGTTATAGCCACTATCTAGATAGGCCAAAATGACGTCAAAATAGCCACCAGGAAAAGTTAACTCTTTCCTGGATAGGTATGTTTAGTGGGACAAGACTGCCCTCTACAGACCAAATACCTAATTTGCGATCTGGAAGATAACCACACCTCTAGTGCTTCTATTGGGTTATCAACTGATGACGTACAGGGAGTCTGGCCCTTTAAAAGTTAAGACAAAGGGAAGATAGAGATATGCAGACGAGAGAGGGAGGCAAGAGATGCAAGATATGCAAAGGAGAGGAGAGAGGAATTGGAAGTTTGGGGACTCCAACTCGGACAACATCTGAGACTAACACTCTACTCCTAAAACTCTAACACTTAGAATTTACTGACTTTCACCAACACCTCCATGCAGAGAGACTACCAATCGGATGAAATATCTACTCAACTGGTAATTATACTGGTTTCATTTAATTAAATTAAATTAATTAAAATGTATTAATAGCATTATATATGACTGGATAAAGCACGGTCAGATTTCCATATTAAGAAATCTTAGTTAACTAAAGAATATATAGTTATAAACATTCCATTCTGCAGGTGGAATTAAGAATAATTATATATTGATGTGATATTATCACGTGTTAGCATACCGCTGTTTTTATCCAGGTGTATTGATTTGCTCTAAATTAAGATAGATATCTTTTAGACAAATTAAAAATCTGCTTATATAATGTTAGATTCTCTTATTGGATGGTTTAAGAAAATGAATTTAAACTGGTTTAAATGTTATTTTATTTAAAAATTACATAAGAATAGATCTTAACTACCTAGGAGATCTAGCCAGCATTGAAAGGGTTATTCTAACTGTCTGCTAAACTTTACGACCTTACGCTGCACTCTGAGGAATTCTGTTCTCTGTGTGAAAAGTTTCACTTTCAGTCTGTGGAAGCTAGTCATAAATCGTCAGAATTCTTGACAGATAATGCTATTTAACCATTGTAACGTAATACCCATTCCTTTGTATTGCATATAATTTTGTACTGGATATTCATTGATTATTGTTATGCATGTTACATAATATTATTTGTTAATTATTGGTTATCATAAATAAAATCTATTTTTATACATTGTGATATTATTATATGAAATACATTCCACTTAACACGATAAACGTTCTTTGGGATCTGAGAATTGAATTAGTGGGCAATTCTCACTGTTACTATTATTATCCCATAAATATCCCCACAGTAGGCACAAATTCATGGTCATCGATCATATTCCCCCCCTCCTTAGAGGCGGAGACCAGAAAAAATAATTACTTCAACGCGATGCATATTGGATTAAGACACCCAATACTGTCTACCCTAATGGCTTGAATGAAAAATGTGCCCTGTCTGTGTTTTTATAAGGACTCGGTGTTGATTGCATAATTGGTAACATTGATTGATATTTTATATGTATTAAAGAAAAGTTACATTTTATTACCTACTGAAGTCCCAGGAGTGTGGTTGTTTCTACATTTCTATTAATTTTGCCACAACTAGCACCGGGCATAACACCAATTACAAGGAGTGCAAGCTACAGCAATGTATGTATCGTGACTCCAGAGGCAGGAGCCTACAATAACCTACAGCAAGTTTTTTCATTTGAGTATGACGAGAAGATATTGGTACTACATGATCTCCACATAAAGTTATTTTATTCTACTGAAATTTTTTTCCTTTTTAACACCATTATCCTATGGATGACTTTTTTGCTCAAGCAGGAGGCCTTGCTGAACAGGCTGAATTTTCCAATATACAGAACAGGACGCAGAAAGGGTAAGATGAGAAACCACAAGCACTAAGTTACCAAACACTACAACATTGAAAGAGATTTACTTTGAACTATTGAGGCTGAGGAAGAGGGAAACAGAGTTAGACCTTCATGGTCTGTTCCTTTCTGGCTACCATAAACGACTTCAAAGCCCACGGGGCTTCAGGATAAAAAATATACCTACCATCGGTTGCCTGAAACCCAAAGTCTGCAAAATATGGATTTCTGTTTTAAATAAGTGTTCATTAGATCTAATGCTTATCATAATAGAGGATGTAAAGGAGGACCTGATTGCAGTAAGGAAAAGAATCACCGAATTGGAAACCAAAGAAGCATTATTGTTGTCTGCGGTGGAGTAGGCACCCATCATACTTAAACTTGAACTGAGTATCAAGAATTACAAAGCACAGATCTGATTAGATTTTAAAGGGAACACTGTGTTTATCAGTGGCTGAGCAGTCAGACAGATAGACCATGATTTGCTCACCAAAAGACCTAAGCAATTTTCCATCGACAGAACTTCTGGCGATTCCACCTCTGACTCTGAACCACCACACACTGACCCAGTCAATAGACCACCTCCTGAAGATACTTTTTTAGAAATAGATCCTGGATCCTCAACAAGGATCCACACCAGATACAACACAAGGCAAGCAGAAGGCAAATTACCAGAAGGGTCCAGAAAGGTGGATCATACAGGAACAATGGGGATACCACCATGTCTCCCGACATAATTCCAGTTTTAAATCTCTCTGATAGAACTCTTAGCCCTGAAAAAAATCCACCTACTCAAAAAAGGACTTTATACCCACTAACCTTCCAAGTAAATTCCAGAGTGAGGTAGAACTATATAAGTTCGGATGTACCCTATGCCTCAAGGACTAATTCAAGGATAATACACAAGAATCACTAACTAATACAGGAAACCTCAGAATTAAAAGCACTTTTGATCCCCCAACACAACAACTTTCCATTAGAACATTCCTGAGGAATATGCAACGGGATACTGAAACAACTTTAGCAATGAAAAATCAACAATTTTGAAACACTTATAAAAAATAAAAAATTATTATCAACTCTCTGGCAAATGATAAAAATATGGTCACATGACCGGCAGACAAGGGTGGAGGGATAGCGCTCCTTAACTACAAGGATTACAGACTGGAGTTGCTATCCCAACTACAAGACACTAACACATATGAAACTATCTGACAAGACAACTTAAATTATGCAACAAGTTACTTCTATAATACAGAGAGGCCTTGAAGCCAACTATCAGTCTATGGATCTACATAAATATTTCATTCAATCTACACCAAGAACGCCAATCATCTATATCCTACCTAAGGCCCATAAGAACATAGACCACCTGACAAGTAGGCCCATAGTTTAAGCCATAGGTCAGGTCTTACAGCCTCTTGCTAAATGGCTTGACTTTTTTATTTAAAGGTACAGTAGAGATTTTACCAACATACATTAAGGATACTCCTGATTTTTTTTTTTTTTTAACAAATTACATTACCAGACGTCACTACTCATGTAGTGACTTGTGATGTTAAGAATTTGTACACAATAATTCCACACAATGCTGGCATTGAAGCCATGCAGCAAGTACTACAAAATTCTTTAGTCTACAAAGGCCCCCCATAGAGTATGTGCTGGAAATTGTGGAGATAGTATTAACATCTAACTACTTCAGATTTGAACACACTTGGTACCGACAGATATCAGGCACATCGATTGGGGCGGCGATGGCTCCAATGTATGCCAACATTTACATGTTTGTATTTGAAAACCTACATATTTTGCAACCATTCGCTAAGAACATAAAATTCTACGATTTATTGATGATGCCTTCATAAGATATAGATTAATGCATCATATCATGCATCAATTCCATCATATCAATGGTGGATACAATCAACTAAAAAAGCACCAATACTGGTTAAACTTATGATGACAGCAAGTCCACATCTATAAGAACCATTCTAAACTTGCTTACACTCTCTTTACTAAGCAAGCAGATAGTTTCCACCTGAAACATCTAAAAGAGTCAGTTCCCCTCTCAAAATTTATGAGGGTGATACGGAACAATTCTGAACTAGTGTTGTCGCGAACCGTGCACAAACTTTTTGCCAACGGTTGTTCGTGGTGAACTCCAGTCAGCTGACACATCCCTGCCAATCTCCGGCAGACCCTCCCTCCCAGACCCTCCCACCTCCTGGACAGCATCCATGTTGAAGGCAGCTTCAACATGGATGCTGTCCAGGAGGTAGGAGGGTCTAGGAGGGAGGGTCTGCCGGAGATTGGCAGGGATGTGTCAGCTGACTGGAGTTCGCCACGAACGGTTCACAGCGAACCGTGGCAAACCGTTCGCGAAAAGTTTGCGAACGGTTCGCGACAACACTATTCTGAACCTAAGAATACACAACAGCAGATTAAGGAGCTGTTGGACTAATTTAGACAGAGGGGATATAAGGAATCAACACTACAGCGAGCACTGACCAAAAGTCAAGAACCATCATGACAGAGTAGAAAAGACAGTCCGTGTCTGGTTTCCCCAACAACTTATAATACAGCATCCCATAAGTTACAAAATACGTTGAGATGCAATTGGCGTCTCTTGGAAAATGATCCTTCCTTACCTGTAATCTTTCACAGTCCCCCAATGAGGTGCTATAAAAGAGGAAGACATCTAAGAAATCTCCTGGTCAAAACGGACCCAGTACATTGCTACACTAAGGAACAAACATCATCTAATTTGGGTTGTTACCGCTGCTTAGGATGTGTCACCTGCAGCCACATGCTACCGGGAAAATTCTTCACCCACCCTCATTCAGGGAAGAAATACCCATCAAACATAGACTGACTTGCACAACAAACTTCGGAATCTTTAAGCTGCAATGTCCCCGTGGACTGTCCTACATAGTGAATATGGACCTTCCCCTGAGAGAACTTATAAGGAACCATAGGTCCAAAATTCATATTGCATACAGGGACAATAAGACCGGTCTTCCAGTCGCCAAGCACATTTTGGCTCTTGGCCATACTCTTCCTACTCTGAAATTCATGGCAAATTATATTCCACCCCTCCATAGAGGTGGAGACTGGAAAAAATGATTACTTCAACGCGAAGCATATTGGATTAACACACTCAATACTGTCTACCTTAAGGGTTTAAATGAAAAATGCACCCTGTCTGTATTTTTACAAGGACTCCATGTTAATTGCATGATTGGTTATATCAATATTTAAAGTCTAAAGTGTATTTAACCCCTTAGTGACCGGACTGTTTTTTAATTTTCTTACCGTAAAGGACCAGGGCTGTTTTTAAATTTCTGCGGTATTTGTGTTTAGCTGTAGTTTTCTTCTTACTCATTTAATGTACCCACACATATTATATACAGTTTTTTTGCCACTATATGGTCTTTCTAAAGATACCATTATTTTCATCATATCATATAATATATTATAAAAACAATTATAAAATATGATGAAATATTTCTAAAAAACATACTTTTTCTAACTTTGACCCCAAAATCTGTTACGCATCTACAACCACCAAAAAACACCCATGCTAAATAGTTTCTAAATTTTGTCCTGAGGTTAACATGTTCTTAGCTATTTTTTGGAAGGTTATAGGGCTATAAGTACAAGTAGGACATTGCTGTTTTAAAATATATATTTTAGAAATGTATCAATAGTGACAATGTAACACTGTTATCTGTCATAAATCTCTGAATCACACCTCACACGTACATATTTTTTTTTATAGTAGACAACTCAGGGTATTTAATATGGCATATGTCCAGTTTTTTTAGTAGCCACTTAGTCACAAACACTGGCCAAAGTTAGCATTTGTTATTTGTTTGTGTGTTAAAAATGCAAAAAACAATTATGAATGCTAACTTTGGCCAGTGTTTGTGACTAAGTGGCTACTAAAAAAGACTGAACATACCCCCTTTGCAATACCTTGGGTTGTCTTCTTTTGCAAATGGTATGCTATCATGGGGGTAATTTTCATTCCTAAATTACCAATTTTACATGACTATTTATAAATGTTTATTGTTTGTAAGCTCTCATTACATACACACAATATCTATTATGATGCGCTCTCAAAAGGCAACATAACCAATCTGGCAAATTTGTAATGTGAAAAAATGGAAAATCAAGCTTATATTTGATCCTGTAACTTTCAAAAACACTGTACGTGGGGGGTTACTGTTATACTCAGGAGACTTCGCTGAACACAAATATTAGTGTTTTTTAAAACAGTAAAACGTATCACAACAATGATATTAGTGAAAGCGTTATTTGTGTGTGACAAATGCAAGAAATGTCACTTTCACTGACAATATCATCTTTGTGATATGTTTTACTGTTTAGCGACACTAATATTTGTGTTCAGTGAAGACTCCTGAGTAAAACAGTACCCCCCATGTACAGGTTTTAGGGTGTCATGGAGAGTTACAGGGTTAACTACTGTGTTAGCAAATTCAATTCTCTGGACTTTTGGCCTGGGTTGTCGGGCAGGTCCCTCAAATTGCAATCAATACAATTACTTAATTATGTAAAAATATTATATAAATATGCACATAGAATTTAAGGTATATACATATTTATATATTTGAAGTCTATGTGCATATTTATGAAATTATTTATGTAGATATATATATATATATATTTCCTATTATTATTTATATATATATATATATATATATATATATATGTATACACATATATATATATATATATATTAATAAAAAAAAACAGTGTGAAGTTTTATATAAGATATATTTCCTGGCTAATCATGGCAGCATATACTCAATGGTTAGCTCCTCCCCTACAACCGATAGGACAGAAAAACCACCAAGGTTTTAAAAGGAGGCTCCATCCCTAAGGTTCTCAGTCTTTTTCCTGTCCTAAAGCCCTTAGGACGTGAGCAATTTGCTCCCTTTACTTAGGGACATGTATGTTTTTTATTTTTTATCTTCATTACTTTATTTGCCTGTTTTACTGTAGTACATTATGCAGTTGTGCTTTTATGCTGTGACGCATTTAAGCTTTGATATCTTTAAACTAGTGCATTATACAGCTGTACCTTATTTTTAAGATTGTGGTACATTATGCGCTTGTGCTTTTGCTAGGAAGCATTTAAGCTGTGTTGCATTTAAGCTGTGTGACATTTAAAACTGTTTCATTTAATTTGCATTTAATACTGTTGCATGTAATACCGCAAGACATTGGAAACCGCAGTACATTTGAAGACTGATATATTTTAAATTCTGTGATTCATTTTGGAAACTGTGTTACCTTTTATACCTTGAGGCCTTTAGACTGTGGTGCCTTTAAACTTTGACTTTTTGCACGTGGTTGCCTTTTAAACTTTCTTGCAGGCACTTTTGTTATCTATTTTGCTTTCCCCTCGGTCCCAGTGATTTATTCCCGGTTCCCTGGGTGTTTAGGGGCCATGTAGGCTTCAGACAGAGTCCTCTCCCTGGTCTCTAAACAGAAAACACACTCGGAATAGGCCCACATGTGTGCAGTTTGTGCCTTATTGGGCCTAATACAGATGACTTGCATTGTGGGAATACAAGTTGTGACAGCCATCTTGGATAAGGGCAATTGCCAGAAAGTGCCTAAAATAAGGGGAAAATTACAGTAAACATACACTTATTGGGTAAGTATTTGCAGGGTCTCCAGACATGGATAAGTGCTGTCTTTAGCCTGTTTTAAAGCGGTTTCGCTGGTTTCTTATAGAATTTAACAGTGCACATTTTTTCTTAATACTTTACCACAGGTAATATTTAGTTATTATTTGTCAGGTGTCTGATTCTTCATCAGGATCTGGTTATGATGAGAAAACAGTGGAAGGAATCGGTTATGCACTGACTTCCTCCAGAAGGTTGTCGCTTCAGCATGACCTATCACTGTGCAGCCAAATGACATGCGGGCAGGGCTTACAAAGTATGTTCCAGAGGCCTTAGGGGTAAGAAAAGAGTCCAGGCTTTATCCTGTGGAGGAAGTTATTTCCAACCCCAGAACTACACCACCTAAGTTGCACACTTATGGATCATAGGTGGACGCAGACCTGTCCAAACTTTTATGCCTACCATTGCAGGACGCCAGCCAGCTGTGACTTCTGCTGCTTTTTCTACAAACATGAAATATGTGATTAAAGATCTAAAGGCTACTATGGAGAGAGATATTAAAAGCCAAGATTGAAGAGGCAGTCTGAAGTCTTCAGGTTACAACTGACTTCTTCACAGAAGCTTCCCTAGATGTAACTAGGATATTCTCTGGATCAAATGGCTTTATTTATAGCAGCTAAGAAAGCATTATGGTTCTGTTTCTGGGATGATGATTCATCCTCTAAGTCTGCCCTCTACACCATTCTATGTGAAAGGGTGGTGCTGTTTGGGAAAACTTTGGATAATTCCATTGAAAAGGCAAATGAGGGCTGCAAGATATTGGTACCTTAGGATGGAAGTTCCAAGGATCCCAGCTCCTCATAGTCTGACCGGAGAACCTCCAGTGACCAGTATTTCTGAGATACATGGAACTACTGGCCCTGCAGGTAATACTCCAGAGGTAACTCATGGCAGTTGGTAAACCTGCCTTTCAAGGTTCTAATGGAGCTATAACGCAGTCGTTTTGCTCTTCAGCAATGAACATATCTCCTCCATTACTAGGACCCTCATTTTTCTGATCACACATATCTGGGCTCGTCATACTCTGTAGGCTTGAGTGGTATCCATGGTCCACATTGATATAGACTGGAGTTTTTTCTTAACGGGCACAGGAGTCTCCATACCAACAGGAGTTTTAAGACCAATGAATCAAAAGGTAAAGCACTGAAGGAAGAAGCCTTCTGGACGAAGAGGAGATTTTTTTTAGGTCCCAGAACAAGAGCAGTTCCAGGGACCAGTTTTGCCTCTCTTCTGGTGCTAAGAGGAAAAGCACATGAAAGCCTACATTGGACCTAAGAAGGGGCCAACAAGAGGCTGAATGTTAGAGTCTTTGGGATGGAGTCAATCAGATCCATATCTCAAGCAATCTGCAAGGATAATTTCCTTACCTCTATATAGCTCAAGGATGCTTACTTTCAATCCAATCTGCAGAGATCTTCAGCATTAGCTCAGAAGAGAACTTCCAGGTTAGTGGCCTTCCATTTGGCCTCAATGCGGCCCCAAGAATCTTTCGATGTGCTTATAGTGTTATTGAGAGTCCAGAACTCCACCTGGTTCCATTATCTGGAGGATCTACGTCTGATAGCCTTAGACCCTCAGAAGGCAGGCACTAATAAGTATATAGTTCTTTCATAA